CATCGAACAAGAGATATGACAAACAGATAATATATACATGGTTATGTGACCTTATTATTATGCATAACTATTATAAAATATATATATTAAATATAGGATCACGCAACCAAATCTAAAATGAAAGCATCAGACATCAGATGACCATTTTGGGGTATATGCATAAATGTCTCGTGCATTGTTAGAGGTATTCAGAGCATGAATAACCTATCAGATGACTTTATATAATCACATGACCTCATTAATTAAATCAGCATATCCTATTCCGAGAAATAAACTGTAGATATGCATGTGAAACTATGATTAAAGTATTAATTCAAATATTCCCCAATTCTGCTTCCAGTACACCCAATACCCTCAGCACTGGACTTCATTCTAAGCTTTCTTTGATCTTTACTCGATTTGAGAGTAGTGTTGAAGCTGTTTTGCATTGCATTGCTTTTTCTATGCTCAGAAAAAAACAAATATTTGCTAATTTGCATAATCAAACTTTGTGCCAGAATCGCCAAATATTTTCTAAACATCTATTGAGTTCATCCAAAAGTTGTGTATAGTAAACTGTGTAAAGACATTCCTCATATAGTACTCTTGTTTGCAGCCCTTGTTAATCATTTCAAAGACATGCAGCTCAGCAAATAAAGTACTAAACAATTTTCAATAAAATAAATATTCTCGGTCCATTACAACATTGGTGTGCAATCTTCAAAAAGTCTAGCTATATTTAATAGTTATTTAGAACAATAATTACCAAATATATTATCTACTAAATATCATATATTTATTGGTCTGAGCTTCGTTTAATTAGCACTCAAGAATGGCCTGGTGAATTGCTAACTTAAATACATAGACAGCACAGAATTCTGTGTCATCACTGTTTGGTAATCTCTCATGCCTAGAGTACATTACCATGGGAACTCGCATGCGTGGATTGACCTGTACACAAGGGCCGGTCCACTGCCCTCCAGACTGATTCACTAGTCTATTATTCGTAAATAGACTAGCCATCACCAATAGTTTAGTCATTTGTATCAGTTTTTCATTAGGCCCCACTAATCAGTTGATAAATATGTAAATTATGCAAATAACATACTATTTATTTAGATAATTTTTGAAATGTAATATTTATTACGGTATATCTACAAAACTAACTTTTGAAAGGCAAGTTCGAGAAAGCCAGAATTCCAGAAAAGTCAGCAATACAGACATTTTATTGTTGTGCTGGTATAATATTTATAATCTCAAATTACTAAGTTACTGTGGTAATTTTCCATGATGCAGCTAGCTTGTGAAAGCAAAAAATGTTAACTTTAAATGGGATTTATCGCAAGAACACAACGCGTATGCTACACATAGGCTTTCATTTATGAAGGTAGTCAGCTTGATTGCAATCAGTTAAAGCACAATTGTTTGGGATATAGATTGGTACCAAACCAAGACTTTTAATCTCATTTCTAAAAAAAATGCTTGCATCAAGGTCACAAGTTAAATGTATGTACCAAGTCAATTAAAATCTAATGTGGAAAGGCTCAACTTTGATGCATTTCGAGCACTAAATTGGCCACCATCTATCCATCTTCAATTAGATAGTGAAACGTATGCACCTGCATATACGTGATATGATGTATTATGTATAAATTTTGAATGTAATCGGTCAAGGTATCCAATGCATGCATATACCAGGTTGAAATAAAATCTCCTGATACCGGTTGCCGAATGGACCAAATTCTTGATTTCTTGAAATGGATCATAAATGTGCAATGTATGCTTAAAGATTGAATGTGATCAGCCAAACAATGTCAGAAATATGGCCCAGGAACACTAAATGTTAAATCAACATGGCAGCCATCTTGAATCCGATAGTAAAAGGAATGCGCATATGTATCCTAAGATGTATATATGAAGTTTGAATGCGAGTGGCTCAGGCATGCCCAAGATATAGAAGTGGGCATGCACATAGGTCAATCCAGTCTCAGGTTTTGTCCTGTGAGGAATGAAAAATTATGTACACACTATAAATATATCATGTAAAATAAAGCTACGATTTTCGAGTAGCATTTTTATTTTATAATAGTATCGCATTGACCATGGGCGCAAAGCATGCCCATATCAATCATTTGACGACAATCGGAAAACAATTACTCAAGTTAATGTAACCACAAGAAAGTTAACATTGAAAACTCTGTAATAAGAATCTCTCCATTTTTATATGCTAAAACGTGAAAACCAAATAAGCACTGTCATTTTCATTAACCTGCATAAAACGAAATATGAAATCATTTTAGCAGTGTTATTATTTTTAGAACAATCAGAAATATATTGCGAAAAAAAAATTTCACAAATATTGTCAGAATTTTCTATAAAATGTGATTCAATGGTCGGCCCATATATTTCCTCTCAGATGTGCTCTGAATAAAGGTGGTCTATTTTTATATCTATATATTTATTACCCACCAACAAACTAGCAAAAAGGGCATATCACATAACAAAAATTACATCAGTACGGCCACCAGACAGACATTTTGGATTAAATCAAGTCGGCTTACATGTAAACATTCATGACTATATTATAGTAATTTTAAAATAATTTATTTCAAGGCATCATTTACATCTGTTCTTCTGTCAACAAAGTTGTTTTTTCAACAAACCTGACCACTCCTAATCTGTCGGGACAACATTGACGACATTTCTCTGAGCGTTAGTGTTTACGAGAATAATGTTTTTCCAGACTAGTTCGAAACAAAGACTGGAGTACTAAAGGCAGATCGAACATCATGTGTATCAACAGTCTTTGAAATCCACTACATGAATAGTGTATTTATACAAACACATGGACGAACTTGCCTAAAGTGGTTTGATATTTAAGCTGACTGCAGTAAAATGAACCGATCAGCTACCATGTTGGTGCAGTGTTAGCCAAACGACGCATACGCCTGAAAAGAAAAAAAATATCAAGAAATTAATAAACAGATATTAAAAGATGGTGGTTGGCATAGCAACATAAACATTACACATGTTGTAACTATATGTAGCTGCTAAAACAACTGCAAATCTACAGGAACTGTACTCCGAATTTATACAAATCAAATTCTTAATGTCTGCAAGTTTTTTAATGAAATTTCAGGTTTAATTCTCACCTTGTATTTCTGTCTTGATCTCGTATTTTCTTTTCCATTTCTTGATCTGTTAGTGTTTCTAAAAATGGACACCACTGATCTGCTTCCGCCTGGTTACGAACTGCTATTTCTACTGTTGGCAGTGGTGATTCACTGAGATGTAGAATATAAATAAATGAAGGAAATTAAACTTGCATGTATACATTTAACTTTTTCAAAGTGAGTCATAATTTAATAAATGCCATTTTGGTTTATGCATGCTTCTATTGTAGATGCCCCTCTAATAGCAAAAATATGGAATTACCATAATAACAGCCATGAATGTAAAATATGATATTTACCTAAAAGCATATGTTCTTTGATGCCAGCTGAGTTGTCCTCGTATACTATAGGCAATGGCAGTAACAAACTCACCACCAAGTCCAAGTTCAGAACATAGTTTCAGTGAAAACTCCTCAGGGCTATTATCTTTTTCTGTCATGTCCCATTCAAACTGGTCAACCAAAGATATATTTCCCACGTGGATATTGAGCTGAGGTGAGCAATATTGATACAAGTACATAAATAAACTTTCCTTGTATGACATCAGTCCCGCTGATGCAGGGTTATAGCCAGAAAATACAAAGTACCTGTCTGAAAAACTTTATTGAAATGAAAGATAGCAGTGGCTAGTATGTAACCACAGAATAGCAATCAATTTTTTGGTGATTATGGTTATTTTGTAGTTTACTGGTAATTTTCAATAACAATTAGATAGCTTTGTAGAAATTTTGCTTATCAAATGAAATTCTGTCAGTTTTTTTTTTTCAAACAAAACAAAAGAATATCACTATCATTCCTCCTGACCATTTAATATTATTTAATGTTCAAACTGCAAGTGCTGACAGATAGTGGATTTCGCCACAGAAACCATATTCCTGTTTGGGGGTACACAATAAGGGCTGTGTGGCCATCTCTGTATCTTGTAGCAATTTAATGTGCTATCCTGGGATCAACCATGCCCTGTTAAATACAAGCACCTGCTTACCTTCCCCATACAGTTACATTTGTTGTTGCCAGTGGATTTAGCCTTCCCAGTTTGCGGACATAGGTAACTAGTAACCGCCATATTGTTCCACTGGGCCAGGATTTTGGCCCAAAGGTACGTGATTAAGTGACATAATTTGAAAATATTCCAATTTTAGTTTCCCGTAAACAAGTCTTTATTACTGCAATGAAGCCATGCCAACTCAGTCTGCCTGCTTAGACTTCCTATTTGAGATGGTTCTGGTATTTCTCGCTATTTGCGCAACAAAGAACACAGTTTTATATTCACGCAACTTTTGAGAGCAAAAGGAGAACCCTGCTTCATATATAGAACGACCACAAGCGTAAGTACTGCCGTCAGGTTACCAAGGGAAATAGAACAAGGAATGAGAACGTGATGAACCAATCATAATGCCTGAACCATTACTAGTTACCAGCCTTTTGTGGCTTGGTGCGCCATGACACTTGTACTGTATGTCATTTCGACATCATGGTAGCATATTAACACTAGAGGGCTCGGCTCACTCACCTTCAAAATAACCCTTTGGTCTGTTTGATCTTCTAGTATACTATTGTCAGCAGGGAATGCTTCTATCTGCGTTCTAATGGCTTGTGATATAGCAGGCACAAAATTGATGGGATTTAACTCAAGATCATCGGCAAGAATTTCAGCAAAGATTTCTGGGGTTATTAGAGTTTCTGTCAAAAATAAAATCAAGCATGTAATTATATAGTAATTGTTATACATCTGTTGATGTCCCTGTATAAGTTACAATTATGCTAGTCAGTATGTAGTATTTCTGCTCTTAAACATCTCATTACCAAAATTAAAAAATTTGTAAATTCTTGAAACACAATTTGTTTAAAAATATTAACGAGTTCCTGAAAACTTGGGCAGAGTCCAAATGATCAAGTATGTATTGTAAAACCACTTATTTTCACTATTTCGATGCTTTGAGCGATTTCACTGAGTTTTAAGTTCATTATCCTGGCAGGAAACAAGTTCTATTGTTATTTTATATGTCCGCATGGATTTAATATTACTTTAATATTACTATAACAGTTGAAAATATATACAGTGATAAACATGGTACAGCTGCATGAATTGTTTTTCTCCCCATACTGTTCCACCATGGATAAAATGATGACAAGTACTACAAATATCATGACATTTACTATACCATATTAGCAGTGATATCCAGGATAAACATCACAATGATATGCCGCATAGTCTTGTGATAATATTTAATTTGGATAGAAATTGTGCTGTTAGAAAGAAGAAACTGAGTATTACCATTGAGGTCATTTTGACACAGAAACTTACCATTTTTGTTCCAAGTAAAAGTATCTCTTAGTTTTTGTCCTTCAAGTTCCATATCTAGTCTGATTGGTACAAGGACGTCTCGCTGTGCAGCATTATCATGTATCAGAGCCGGATCATGGTCATCAAAACTGCAAGAAATGCAGAAAACTATCAAAGCCTTGCCTGCATATGGAATTCTGATTTCTGATGTAAGCAATGTTTTACTCCATGAATTAAAAACTATCAGAGCACCATCTCTTGATCAAAAGTTTGGCACCCGTAGTTTGGTTATTCATAGGAGTGCTTATCGATTATCTGATATTTTGTTTTCTGTTAAGATAGTTTGTGTATTTTATTGGTATGTTTGCAAATGTGTATTAGACTCAATTGCAACAATTCTTCCCACGAGTTGACATTAAAACCCATTCTAGTATTCCCATGGGATTTGGGAAATACATGTACATTACCAATGATATTAATCACAAGATAAATAATTTTCTTCATTGAACACATACACCAATGTATATATTCCTTCTGGACTCTTAACCTTTGAATGTGTATCAACAGTAATCAGTCAAGCAGAAACAGTAAAATGAGATTTTCACTACGACTTTCTCAATTTTTGCATATTTTCACATAGGATATTTGTCGTTCACACTATTAAAAGGTAGATTTTATACTAATGAATTAGGTGACCAAATTTGATAGAGTTTTGGAATAGAATTAGTAAAGTTATTGTGCACACAACAATTATTAACAACAACGAAAATGCTGACAGGCATTTTTTCAGTTACAGTTACTTTTGATTTGTGTGCTTCTAATCCTGCCAAATTTTCTTTATAGAAAAAACCTTTCTTACCAAAGTGGGAATGTCCTTTGTCTTTTTGGTCCTATTCTATTTCTGTTTATAGCTGTAGAACATGGGACAGCGTCCAAATGATGGGAGCTGTTTGGTATTGCCGGCACCCAGTCTCTTCGCTTGGATTTTCCTTCCCTGCAAAGTAACACATTTATAAATATCGATGAGTTGAAAGAGATACAAAATGTAGCTGCATCCCTGTTAACTTGTTTGTCATTCAACCAGATTTGTCATTTATCAAAGAAAGTTAAAAACCTATGTATTTTTTAAAATTAAATCCAGACAATGATCTTAGAAAGAACTCCCGTGTGCTGAGAGTATTGGAGACACATTAAAAATTAATTCAAAATTACTTGAACTTGAGATGTTGATGGAAACGCAGAAAATTAATTATGCAAATAAGGTAACAAACAGATTTAAGTGTAAAACTAATAAGATCTGCACAATGTACCAAGTTTTATTCAAATGTGATGATCAATACTTAAGATATACAGTATTAATTACGTTAATTAGGTGATTAAGAAGCATAAATATTTACCAAAAACTAATATGGTGTATAATCCTAGGTTCATTGAAATGTGATGGGTACTCTTTAAAAGTTTCATTGAAATCCAATGAGTGGTTTTCAGACATCAGTGCAACAGCCATAGAACAGCAAAAAATTAACTAATTATGCAAATTAGGTAATTAATAAGCACAATTATTTATCCCAAAATTAATCAGGTCTCTGCATAGTTCTAGAATATCTATGTCGCAAGTCTCATTGAAATGTGATGATTAGTACTTGAGATATCTGGTGAAAAGCTGAAAATTAACTAATTATGCTAATAAGGTGATTAATATGCACAAATATTTACCCCAAAACTAATTAGGTCTCTGCACAGTCCTCAAGTAACTATGTACCAAGTTTCATTATAACTCGAAATATCAAAAGCTGAAAATTAATTAATTATGCAAATTAGGTAATTAATATGTACTGATATTACCCTAAAAACTATCAGGTCTGTGCAGTGTCATATGACATCTATGTACCAAGTTTTATTGAAATGTTATTAGTACATTATGTAAATTAGGTAATTAATAATATTAACAGATTTTTACCCAAAACTAATCAAATTAGTTCAGAGCATCCATGTGCCAAGTTTCATTGAAATCCAATGAGTGGTTCTTCAAAAATCAGTGGAACAGTCATAGAACAGCTTAAAATCAGTTAATTATCATGTAAATTAGGTAATTAATATTCATAGATTTTTACCCAAAACTAATCAAACCTGCATATTGGTTCAGAACATCCATGTGCCAAGTTTCATCAAAATCCAATGAGTGGTTCTTCAAATATCAGTGGACCAGTCATGGAACAGCTTGAAATCAGTTAATTATCATTCAAATTAGGTAATTAATATTCATAGATTTTTACCGAAAACTAATCAAACCTGCATATTGGTTCAGAGCATCCATGTGCCAAGTTTCATCAAAATCCAATGAGTGGTTCTTCAGATATCAGTGGAACAGTCTTGGAACAGCTAATTATCATGCAAATTAGGTAATTAATATTCATAGATTTTTACCAAAACCTAATCAGCTCTGCGCATTATCCCAGAGCATCTATGTATCAAGTTTCACCAAAATTTGATTAGTGGTTCTTGAGATAATGGTGGAACAAAAAAAGTTACATACATACATACATACTACATGACAGACATACAGACAGGGTAACTGCAAAGACTCCCTTTTGTGCTTCGCACACGGGAGTCAAAAACACAATATCCCGTAGACAGTGTGTAATATGATGCAAACTGTTTGCAATAAAACTCCATATCAGTTTTGCAGTGAGATTTACCATAGGATGAAATATACCAACACAACTGATAAGTAGAATACCAGTCACTTACTAGTAACTGCTTTGATTGAAAATATAAATACATTTTGTTGATGGGTAACCATGCCTTTGGCCATGATTGACCATCTTACCCTATAATTTGGTTTTCTGACTTGTATTTTACCTCCACATTATTGACTCCACATGTTGACCTAACATGTAATAATTTACCAGATATTTATTCAAAGCACAATAGTATGACGCTTACATCATTGTAGTGTAGTTATATGTTTAGCTCCCAAGAGTTTCCTATTCACAGATTCTGAACTTTTAATTTATATTTGATTCAGTGAAATAGAAATTCAGGCGATGGTGAGCACATAGCGCCCTCAGAAGCCATTTAGTGAATACACCTTGAGAGGGCGTTCTTCTCACAGGATTCTTTAATCTCTCCCAGAATGTGACCCTGCTCTAGTGTAGTAGAAGCTTAACCCATAAGCATCCAATTATCCATATCTATCCAAGCAATGACAGAATGAGCATAGCAATAGGGTGAACACTATTCACATCGCCATCAGCAACTAGCCATTTTAATGAAGAAGTTACTGCATTTGCAGTTGACCCATTAGATTAATATATATAAAATAAAGCACTGCTCTTGCGATTTTTATGTTAGTAGACCCAGGCATTAGGCTAGGACTAGTATATTTTTTGGGGCACTGAGCACACACTAGAAAAGGCTACTTTGCCACATGTGATGCAAGTATTTGCAGTGATTACCTGAGATGGCACACTGGAGATGGCTATTTGGGGTCATGTGTGAAGTGCTTACCTGAGAGGAGTGGGATCAACAGAGATGGAAACAGCTTTGTATTTTTCATCGTTTCCTTCAAGAATTTCTTCTACCTCTGAGGCTTTCAACAAAGTAACATTGGTGGCTAAGCTGTGCTGACCAAAACCTAAGAAAATTGTTAATTTGTAATGAATAATCACAGAAATTTAACCATTGTTGCCCGGACTTTGACATGTAAAGGGACTATCTGATAGTTTCAATTTTAAAGGTCTTGACTGACTTTAATGAAAGAAGGTACATTGATATAAATGGGTAGTACAGTTATGATGAGTGGGGCCAAAAATATGTGGAATTGTGGTGCAATCAGGATTTATCAGACACAACCCTTGGATGCCACCCCTTGTTGTGTAAATGGTACAGCCCATTAACAAAATCAAATCAATTTGACTTGATGGAAGGATAAAAACAAAACTATCAGATTATAGTACCCTTTAACGGGAAAATTTAAGGTTAATACAACAGAGATCACTTTAGCTGAAAATGTCTATTTTTTTTAAGGTTAAGTTTGACATTTTCTTTGCAGCTCCTCAAGACGTTAGATAGAACCCCAGCATCTGAATAGATTCACATATGGGGTATGAGGAATAACAAGTGAAATGCTAAATTTAACACTTTTTGAATTTTGATATAACAAACTGTACTGAAAGATATTTAAAGCAGTGATATGAGGGAGATCACTTTTAAACCAAGAAATTGAAAATTTGGTTCAGGCTGCATAAACATTTCTGACATTTCTGGTTAATTCATTTTCTAAAATCAAATATTTTATTTTGAAATTGTTCTAAACCAGTGCTTCAATTTATTCTAGAATTCTGTCAAAAACCAAAAAAAGCTGTCACACACACATTTTCAATCGACATACAGAATGACTAGAAACAAACTTTCAGCTACTTGAGTGTTTGTACACGACATACATTTACAACAGAAATCAAAATATTTTCAGCAAAGTTTGACAGTGTTGTATCAACTTCCTACATGTGCTGGAGTCAGACTAGACTAGCTATTCTTAAGAATGTCATGATTTCATTTCTACACACTACCTGTGAAAGAAAATAAAAAAACAAACAAAATTAGAAAATAGGAGAGCATGGTTAGTTAAAAGCAAAAATAGTATCAGATGTTTAATTGGCTACTTTATTGTCTGTGCCTATCCTATGTCTGTTTTTACCATTTTGTCCATTTTTCTTCTTTCGGGCGCCGTGTTTCCTACGAAAAAATCAGAATGTGGTATCATGATGTAGTGAATGACACATGATGCAAAATGTGCAATGCAATCTACGGATGTATTACTGAAACCCAAGCAAATGAAGGAGGGGCAAAAAAAAAAAAAGGAAAAAAAAGACAAGTTTGCATTTTAGTGGTTTTAGTGGATGCAGTTGCCAAAAAAAAAAAAAAAAAAAACACCAGGGAAGTCAGCAGACCATGCAATAAAACCATGGAATGGGTTTATCTATGGCTAGCATTTATGATGATGATGACAAACCAAACACACTCAGCAAGAAACATGCAATGCAGTTAAAGAACAAGAAAAGACAGCATGGAGAACATGCTTGAGACTTGAAATGAGTACATGATGATAGACGACTATACACAGACAAAACAGTAAAATTGTACAGCTAGGATAGGCAACATAAACCCCCCCCCCATCCCGAACAATTTAAATTTACCTAAAAAGGCTTCTACATGTATATTTTTATTGCTTATGTGTTGTGGACACGTTACTCAAAGAGTAGCAGAGTACCCAGTCTGTAGTATGCTAAGAATGTATGGTTCAAGACAATTTTTGTTTTTTGCAAAACACAAAGAATGATTTGGAAAACATTAAGAAGATTTGTCTTATGTTTTCGGATAAATTCTTTGAATTTACTAACATCACTACAAGATTTCAGCCTAGCAACTACCGTAACTATAAAATCTGCAGAGAGTCAGATTTTAGAAAACCTTTAATATCAGGTGATACTAAACTACATGTACATGCACAGTGTAGGATAAGTCAAGATTCTAAAATCAATCTCCAGTTCAGGTTCAGAGTAGACAAAATCTCAATACGGTACACTCCACTTGGTCAGAGTCTATCGTTAGGAAAAAAAAAACACATACATGGTACATGAGATATGACAAATGTTCTAGACAATATGTTAAAAAGGAAATTTAGATGACAAGAAGAAGAAAGTCACATGAAACATGTAAAATCATGTAAATAAATGCTTTTACTTACGTTCTCCCAAGCTGACTATTTGTTTCCTTTCATCCACAGTGGCCAACCGTCTCCATAGTGATGGGTACTTTTTATATAGAGAGCCACGGAACATGCGCAAGTAATTACCAACCTGATAATAACAAATGGTTTATTGCAATATTTTGTTACAGCAAAGATTAAAAGGGCGTTGATCGTCATGTCGTTTCTTGCTCAGTGAGGGACTCATAGCAACACACACAATGTGTGTAAAATGTCTTGTTTGTTTACATCATATTCGCATGACGACCACCTTTCTTTAAATACAGATACCCAATACACAAATGTTTACTGTATAGAGTTATCTATTTAAAAAACTTGGGAAGGGGGGGGGGGGCATGGCTTGAAGTTTTTCAGCACAGACTGTATTAATTAAAACATACATGACAACTAATTTTTTATTTGCTATTTTAGTGAATATGACTTCATCATTTGATTGATTTTATTTCGCATCATGATCCCAAATATTCAGATGAATGAGCATTTACGAAAAATGCCAAGAACCACAACTGTAAAAATAGACTTCAGCTGTCAGCAGATTATAAACACTGATGTACATGTACCTGCTCATCATATCAGTAAGGTAATGTGATGACAACAATGTAACAATGGAGTTTGCATTGATGCCATTGGATATTCCCTATTTTATTCTTATGATGCCAAGGCAATTTTATCAATTGTGGTCTGGAAAATGGGTACAAAGCCCTCTCAACTTGGCAATTCGAGCCCTGTAAATGTGTACATGTACAATACTTGTGGTTTGCAACGCGCATAGTACTGTATGGTGACATCATGCCAAGATCCCATTCAAATCTCATCTCGTAGATAGCGAGACTGATGCTACAACCTTTTGACATGAAATAGGCGGTTTGTAATAAAAACAATAAAACATGGATTACCACATTCATAGTGAAAAAATGTAGTACATGAAAAATGTACAGAAAATATAGTTATCGTAATCCATCATATCGTGAGCAGCTATTTTGATCCACCTGAACATCCCAGGATTCTAGTTACCTCGGGCATGCGCATTCGCATTTTTCTGAATTGGAACGCTTATGTGACAGCGAGATTGAAACGGGATCTTGGTATCATGTCACCATAGTGGCAAACACCAAGTAATGTACTTTTTTTTTTTGTACCTTTGATACTACCCATTGATGATTCTTACCACACCGTCAGTGGGCTTTCAAAGTGGTATTAAACATGTACATAAAACAAAAATAACCTAACAATGCAATTACATTAAAGACCATGTTATTTTTAGAAATATGATATGTTTGTTACAAAATTGTTCATGATAAGCAAAAACTGAAATTCACACACTAAGTCTTAGGCTTACATACAATACATTATCTCTTTATTATTTTATTATCTATTATCTCATTTTAATTGTATATGCCCCTCTTCAAGAGACATAGTTGGGGGCTGGAGTGATTAATATTAGGGGGTGGGTGGGGGTGGGGTTGAGGCTTAAACTCTTTACCATAAAACATAATCTTAGATCCATGGTAAATGCTACTACTAGTTAAATGAAGGTTAATACTTTCGATATCATGGAACTGTAATGGTGTGTGTTATAATTTGCATGTCATAGATTTATTTCTGGTGTCCACTTACTAGCACCTTCTTTTCAAACCCGAATAATTTTGAATAATCTTCTGAACAAAGAAAACATCAAAACATTGTGTCTGCAGCGATTGCAGACGCGTGCTGGGTGGTTATTATGAGTTCAACATAAACACTACGTAAAACGTATTCCTTTACATACCTCCGAACCTATCATGTACCATTCTCCAGCTTCTAAAAGCTGAAATTTCTCCGGCTTTTTGCCGAACGTGCGTGAAGCCGCAGCCATTTTGTTTGATGGACAAATTGTCATTACGCCCTCAGCGGTAGTGGGTTACTTTTAATCAATCAATTTTGAACAGAAAGCGAGAAATAATTAAAATTCGAATTATTGTTCTTACATAATTCGATATTTAATGAGGTTATATGATTTATTGCGGTACACTAATAATCTACAAGTCACCTACAAAGAAATATGTATTGTCGGAAATTTACAGTTTCTTGGATAAGCTGTTATGTACGCGAAAACTGATGACGTTTTATGCAGCTGGCCTGGACTGGAGGTAGTGAGATCACTGGCAAGGAAGTGGATCGGCAATATTCAAGGCTCAAACTCTGTCACTTACTTTAATTATTCCAACCCGTTTCCGGATCATTTTAGCCTTATTTATCAACAAGTGTGGACATAAAGAAGGCCTACAAATATGCGAAATTTTAGGTAAGTCACCCAGGTAATGTAAATTGCAGTACATTTTTCAGTTTACGTTGAGACCGCGTGTACCATAACACAGATATAGCATGAAGGTAAAATCAGATATAGATACCGGTGTGCTTGTCATGAATTATAGGTCATGTAGTCTGGTTCCACTGTGTAGCCCCCCCCCCCCGAGTAAATATCATACACTTTTGCAACGACATGATCGAGGGCTATAGGTCAGTAGAATACAGAGGTTTGTTTACATTTGAATCGACCTTCCATGATCTATCCACAGTTCTTCTTTTCAGACGGGAATGTGATCTATCAATGTTTTCCACCAGAGGGGAGGGGGCAGGTAGTAAATTGAGTTTTGTAATGCTATGGATTCTTTTATTTTTGTCGTCCATTCATTCATTTGGTGGTCAGTTTCCCTCACCAAAATATCAAGAATTTATAATTCATTTTTACTAGTACACATGTAATGTGTGAGGTTGTGATATAACCCAACCCAATTAACCCTAGCCTAAAACATATTGCCTACCCCTAATTTTTTTTTGGCCAAACAGGAAAATATGATGCAAAATTACACAATATTTCAATGAGACTTAAGTGAAATTGAATTTATTATTCTGAATTCTCGTCAAATTGGGAAGAATTTTCTTACTAGGTATGTTGTTTGTTTCAGAGTGTATGCTTGTACCTGGAATGTTGCCACTTTAGATCCACCTTCTCCAGAGCTCCTACGAGAACTATTACACTGCCAGGAGGAGGAAGAGGGGGAGGAGAAAGAACCTGATTTGTACGCCCTTGGGTTTCAAGAAGTCAGTGCCAAACCACATCATTTTGTGAGAGATGTGGTTGTTGATGACCCGTACACAGATTGTATCTGTAAACAACTATCTCCTAAAGGATATATAAAGGTTAGTGTGAATCAATAGTCTTGGGAAAAATGTCCTGAAATTGCAGTCATCCAATAATACAGTACAGTAAAGGGGGTAATTATTCACTGGGTTTTAATTTAGCTTATTTCGCTGACTGGAAAAATGCGCTAAATTAAAACCCAGTGAATATGTAAAATTTAGCATAGAACACATTATCTAAATGACGAAACTGTGAATTTAAAACCCACTGAATATGCCAGAAATGGCAAATCAGTGGAATTTAAACCCAGTGAAAATTAGTCATTTTACAGTAATATCTTCATTGTGTTCATATTAAGCTTTTGAATGAAATGCAATGCAGATGTGAAAAAGAACAAAAAGAGTAACGAAATTATATTCAAAATGTGAGAAAAACCATATGCATCTGAAAGATCATCCATGTGCAATCAGAGAAAACTGTCTTCAACATTTTAACATGAGGTATTTGACTGGTCTTAAAAATTAGGTCAGAAAAAAAAATAATACATTAAAGAAGAAAAATAAATCCCAAAAAATAGAATAATTCTCGCACATGAAATGCAATTTTTTCACGTATAGTCTATATTCTTGCTAGCAGGGACTGTGCGCTCTGTTGTAAGCGCACCACAAATACGAAACTGTATCAAACATACTTGATAAAACCTTCTTTAATTCTTATTTGTTAGAGTAAAATGACCAATCTCAGTTTGATTAGTGACATTAAGCCAGGAAGTTGAATGTACCGGTACATTTAAAACTTTTGAACTGTAACAAGACTGCAAGGTTACACTTTCATTCACATCATTAATATTTCTATCATTCCTCAATAACATTGTTATGATTATAAGATCTTACTAAAATTAGAACTGATGTCACAAACAGGAATATGGGAAACAGATCAAATGCTGACAATAAAGACATTCACATTTCTAAATACAGTCTGGGTTTTTAGTGTTTTGTGTTACATCAATTTATTTCATTATTTTTTATTAGATTAGAGACATACGTCTACAAGGCTTACTCTTGTTGGTCTTTGTGAAGCTACAACACGTACCATTTCTTAGAAATATACAAACCAATTACACAAGGACTGGATTAGGTGGATTATGGGTAAGTATTTTGTTCACCCATCCCCATTGTAGTGCAATATTATGCTGTATTTCATTTACGGTAGTCTTGGTTTCAAAGGTCAAATATTGAACTTTGTCATCTGAACTCAAAGGTGGATGTTATGAAGTAGGTCAAACCTGTTTAAAATAAGATCTTAGTTTGATCTTTATTTTTAAATTTTTTTTTATTAAATATGTATTTAATTATTTATATTTATTATACATTTTCTTTAACTTTATTTTTTTTAATTTTAATTTATTATTTATTTGCTGGCAGATTTTAAGAGTTTTGGTAATCACGACAGCCCAAAAAGATTCTGACCCAATGCCCATATAAATCCTGTTCAAATCTCGCATAAGCTACAGCCAATCATAACTAGCTTTTTGGCCGACAGCGTATGCACTGGAGAAAATAATTAACAAACAATGACAATGTACATTTTTGTACAAGAAAAAAGATTGTGTTGCGTGGCATTGGTTTCATTTTCAAGACAATCATCTCAATCAAAAGTTGGCCAGAGAAAATGCCAGAAAAAAGGTGGTTAGATACTCGTGTCAATTTTTCAATTGGCTTTGAATACTTTAAATTCAGCTGTCGGTCCATCAATCACTACTGCGACAGACAATTTATTTAAAGTTGTATAACGGTCACCAGCACAAGGCGTCCATGCTTAATATTGGAGCAAGAAATATTTCCTGATCAATTGCGATATGGGGAAATGTTTTATTACAATCCATATAAGTCAATTACTTAAATAAAGAGTAATTGTACATACAGCTACGGCTTTAATACCATAGACTATTTTGGCCCGTTCATCAACAAAACATCATCTGTCTCCAGGGCAAGCGACCGCAAAAAGTTACCAGTGTTCGTTCAAAACAGTGGAAACAAATCTTCACTCCCAGAACAACCATGCAAAATATCGACCTAACCTGTAACCATATGATCATAAAAATCATGGATGATTTTTGTTGCATTTATCAATGATAAACTTATCAAAAAGCCATGTTTTTCCCGATTGTTTTCATCACTAACATCGGTAGAATCCACCATTTTATTTGAGTGTGTTTGTGATCTGTTTTTGATCGGTGACGTCACCAGGCGCGCTATAGAAGGGGATTTTTGATTGGTTGAATGTATCAGTCAGAGGGGATTTCGTTGAAGTCTTTTTATATATGTGTTGTTTCAGATGAATGTGGATATAGTTGAAGTAATGCAAACTAAGATGTATGTAATATTAATAAAAACAATTACAAATTATTAAAAATATATAGTAAAAATAAATTTTAATCAGATTGGATTCTGAGCATCATGTGCTCTCTTGCCTTTCTTCCTGCCTTGCTGCTTTGCCTCATTGCCTGCCTTGCCTGCCTGCTGCTGCCATTCATTCTCAACCAATGAAATTTACATCCTATTTCATATAAGGATTTTACCTTGTCCATATCATTGTAGAGGAAGGTCAAGTACATGCTTGTTTTTGTAGTAAACCGATATGTTGTTTTCATTATGAGTATTAACCAAAAAAGTGACAAGTTTAGTTTTCCCACCTTTTTCAAAACTGGCTAGTATTTTATTTTGCTTGTATATATTACTGCACTATTATTTGGAAACTTTTATACAATTCATGTTATATAATTATTTAAAGGAAATTGAGATTAATACAGTACATATAGAACTTGAGGAACATGAAAATTGATTAATTAGGGTTTCAAGCCCAATTGATTCAAAACTATAATTGTTTCATTTATTATTATTTTTTCGCTGATTTTTCATCAAGCGTTTTGTCTACTCTGCTGTTCTGATTAGCTTGAAATTTGGTATGATAGTGAAGTTTGATGTGATTTGGCGCATATCCTAAGTTCAGCCACATATATCACATGACCAGACCACCATCTTGAATTGAAATATTTTCAAATGTCGCTCTTGCATAATAGGGACATGCAACCAGTGCAGTATGATGCAATGCATGTCGTTTTGTTTTTCAGATTCAAAATGGCCGACTGGCAATTATTTTGTTTTAACAAATGCTGTTTCAGACGTATCTCTGACATTTCTGACCAATCACAATCACATTTCACACATACATCAAGTCTAGACAAATCATGTCTCACATATTTACGTTCGGAGACTATTTTTGCCTGTAAATTGTGACCCCTTTGTTTTCATGGACAACACCAATGTGTATCAGTTTAAATATACAACTCATTGATATACATGTACATGTATGCCCTCTAGTGGCAATGTTTGCAAATGCCCTTTTCTTTGGAAAACTAAAAAAAAAAATCTTTTGGTTTTTTTGGAATGCACAAATCCTATAAAAAGGGAAAAAAACTGTTGAGCCAATATGTTCCTAGCATTTTTTTCAATAATTGGATTTACAGATGGTGTCATTTTCTCTTATCAAGACAAGACTACTAGATAGGTGATTTGTATGGGTCTCTTGATCTCGTAATCAATTTGATAAACAATGTAATTGTTTCTATGCAGGGGAATAAGGGAGCTGTTACTGTAAGATTTGGTTTGTATGGATACAGCGTGTGTCTGGTAAACTGCCATCTGGAAGCCCATTTAGAAGGCTGGAAGCTAAGAGACAGAGATTATTCTACCATTATTCGAGATCAAGTCTTTGAAAATTGTCGTGCTAAAACTATACTTAATCATGAGTAAGTACATAGCCGGGGAGTCGTTACCTGCACATGTGACAGACGCCCTTAGCAAGTCATTGTTCACAAATAAGTGTCCACCCATGAACCTTTGCATTTGTTTGCATGCGCTGTTATCGTCCCTTAGAACTTCCCACGTATGTGCAGGTGACAACCTCTCAGCTTTAAGATAGAAGCCTACTCACAATTACTGAGAAGGTTGGTCATAAATAGCATGACAGTGTTCATTGGTTTATTATGTAAAATCATGAGCTTTTGTCCCATGGCACCATGAAACAGCATTCGTTTGTGTGTTACAGTGACGTATTTTGTGGATCTTGTCCTAATATTTTTCAAAAATCGCTATTTTTAGAATAATTCCATAGAGCACAATGTGAAATAAAAATTGCATTTTTTTGACACTTTTTAAAATAATTTTCTTGAAAAAAGTACAAAAGTACTCCATCATTAACAGTATGGTTTATGATTTTTTCAGCCTATGTCACCAGCCTACAATTTGAGATATGGCATAATATCTCTGCCATAGGACCATATGATAAAACCGTTATAATACTGCCAAAACAACCACTATCAACAAAAATACAACCAATCAAAATCGTAAATTAGGCTGGTGACCCCTAATTTTTTTTAAGTCAATATTCTTATCCTTGGCATACAATTTTTTGTAAAATTAATAAATTACTTGAATTCATGAGTAGTCTTCTACCTTAAGGTAGAGTTATCCTCAATTTTGCAAATAATCACACTTTTATTATTGGATGCAGTTTACAATATATTTGATTTAGTCCATCTGTTTTATTGGATGTTAGAGGGCGCTCTACCTGCTGTGGTTGATGTTGTTAGTTCAAACGAACAACTCATCCATTCCAGATGTTGTACATTGGTTAGTTGCAAAGTCTGGTGAAAAACCATGTAGGTTTACAAGTTATGTAAGATTTACAAATGGCATTTTCCTGTGTGTAGTTGCATTGTGTATAGTTCATGCCAGTATTGCACTGATTATTGCTTCTGATCTGTTGAAGGTATGCCTTCAATGTATAGCAAGTTTGTTCATGTGAGGTGTGGCCTTTATTTGAGAACAATTGCGCCCTCTATAGCTCTGTTATAGTTACCGTAAGTGTTTTCAGGAGTATCAGTCTTAGATCTCAGTGTTATATATTTTTTGAGTGCGTACTTTTATGATATATTTTTTGAGTGGGTAATTTTATGATATATTATTTGAGTGCATACTTTTATGATATATTATTTGAGTATTGTGGTATATGCAATTTGTTTGTTGTTTTTGTGAATGATGTCTAAAGCTACTTGGAGATTAAAATCCCGGCCATAGATAATTTTTCAATAGTCTTAATTCTATTGCTAGCCAGTTAGAGGAGAAATACAGCCATATTGGTTAACAATCTGCATAAAGACAATAAAACATTCCGAACAGTGGATCATGTGACCAAGAGTAGTATAAAAATGGTTAAATATCTACATCCATCTTATATTAATTCATTTTTTTGTTTCAGTTACGTAATTTGGTTAGGAGACCTTAACTACCGTATTTCTGACATTTCGATTGAAGATGTCAAAGATGTCTTAAATAGAAATGAATTACATATACTGAAATTTAAAGACCAGTTATTTTTATCACAAGAAGCCTGCGATGCCTTCCATGACTTTAGCGAAGGAGATTTAAATTTTCCACCAACTTACAAACTGAACCCAGGAACCAACGAGTATAATGTAAGGTAAGTCAAACTGTTGATTGTCTGTTGAAATCCTGAAACCCTGAACCCACAAGTTTTCATTGTTAAATCACTGAAAACCTGAGCTTTCATTGTTAAATCACTGAAAACCTGAGTTTTCATTGTTAAATCACTGAAAACCTGAGCTTTCATTGTTAAATCACTGAAAACCTGAGCTTTCATTGTTAAATCACTGAAAACCTGAGCTTTCATTGTTAAATCACTGAAAACCTGAGCTTTCATTGTTAAATCACTGAAAACCTGAGCTTTCATTGTTAAATCACTGAAAACCTGAGCTTTCGTTGTTAAATCCCTGAAAACCTGAGCTTTCATTGTTAAATCCCTGAAAACCTGAGCTTTCGTTGTTAAATCCCTGAACACCTGAGCTTTCATTTTTGAGATCTGAACAACTGAGCTTTCATTTCTGAAAACCTGAGCTTTCGTTGTTAAATCCCTGAACACCTGAGCTTTCATTGTTAAATCCCTGAACACCTGAGCTTTCATTGTTAAATCCCTGAACACCTGAGCTTTCATTTTTGAGATCTGAACAACTGAGCTTTCATTTCTGAAAACCTGAGCTTTCGTTGTTAAATCCCTGAAAACCTGAGCTTTCGTTGTTAAATCCCTGAACACCTGAGCTTTCATTTTTGAGATCTGAACAACTGAGCTTTCATTT